AATATGACAACCTCCTCTGCCTCTGCAGGCTCAGGAACTCCCGGGGTACACAGGTAGGAAAATCCACAAGTGCTCTCATGTATCCAGTTTAGGACAAAATACAAAGGCACTGAAAGCATCATATAAAACTATCCCCAAGCCTTGTGACAGATTTCTTTTTTTTTTTTTTAATAATTTTTTTTATTAAGAAAAGAAGAAAAAAAAACATAAACAAAAAACAAGTTTCCACCTCCTCCCAGCCTCCCATTTCCCTCCCCCTCCTCCCACCCTTCTCCCCCTCCTCCCACCCTTCTACCCCTCCCCCCACTCCTCTCCCCCTCCCTCTCCAGTCCACAGAGCAGTCCAGGTTCCCCACGGAGTCTACAATAGGTGAACCTAAAGAAGCTAAGTAAGAAGGTGAACCCAAGGAAAAACATATAGTTATCCTCTTGGCTAAGGGAAGTAGACCCAATTGCCGGGGAGAAAATTAGGATCTTGGGGGTGGGGTGGGATGGGGGTAAGGGGAGATGGGGAGAGAAAAGGTAGAAGGGAAGGAGGGGGGATTTGGGGAATCAGGAGAATTGGGATAAAGGAAAGGTGGATAGGGGAGCACGGAACCACAATTCTTAGTTAAGGGAACCACTTTAGGGTGAGCAAGAGATTTGACCCTAGAGGGGCTCCCAAGTGCCCAACATGAGGTTCCCAGTTAGTTCCTTGGGTAGCTGAGGATTGGGAACCTGAAATGACCCTATCCGAGAGCAATACTGACGAATATCTTGCATATCATCATAGAACCTTCATCTGGTGATGGATGGAGACAGAGACAGAGACCCACACTGGAGCACTGGACTGAGCTCCCAAGGTCCCAATGAGGAGCAGAAGGAGGGAGAACATGAGCAAAGAAGTCGGGACCACGAGGCGTGCACCCACCCACTGAGACAGTGGAGCTGATCTACTGGGAGCTCACCAAGGCCAGCTGTACTGTGACCGAAAAAGCATGGGATAAAACCGGACTCTCTGAACATGGCGAACAATGAGGGCTGATGAGACGCCAAGGACAATGGCACGGGGTTTTGATCCTACTTAATGTGCTGGCTTTATGGAAGCCTAGCCAGTTTGGATGTTCACCTTCCTAGATATGGACGGAGCGGGGAGGACCTAGGACTTACCACAGGGCAGGGAACCTGGACTGCTCATTGCGTTCTTCTTCGTCCTGACCAATAGTGTCACTCTCATTTGCTTAACATCTGAAAAGTGAGATTGAAATTTTTCAAAAACTCTGTGTCGGTGAGGATGATGTCCCTGTGACCCCTGTCAATGTACAGATTATATATATCTTAGATCATTTAGGGGAGAAACAGAAAGCAAAGAAGTCATGAAAATTTGCAAACCCATCACTCATATTTCAACATCTTCTGCTGTCCTAAAATAATTATGCAGATGGAATAACTTCTGTATCTACTTACTTTTTCACCTAACATTTTTATTATGTATTTATTTTGAATAAAATGTTTTGACAATTTATTCATTTTACTTGTTCAAGTGTTCTGCCTGTATGTATGTATGTGCACTATGTGTGTGTCTGGTGTCCAGAGACAACTGGACCTGGAGTTACAGGCTGTGTATCTAGGAGATGAACCCAGGTGTTCTGCAAGAGCAACAAGTGCTCTAACCACGGAGCCACCTCTCCAGCCCACATCTGACTGCAGTGAGATCTGACACTGTAAGAGCAGCTGAGCCCGGAAGACTGACTGAACCCCTGGCTTTGCTCAAAACAAAGGGCCTGGGTGTGCTGAGCTCTTTACCCACAACTTACATTCCAGCCACCGTTATAATTATCCTTTCAAAACGTTACTTTCTCTCCTCCTTTCCCTCTCAGTTAGACTTGCTATACTTTGCAAGTCTCCTGGCGATAGGAATTCCTACAGCACAACACATACGTAAAAACAATGATGGATTCTGTGACAGTCTGAGCTGTAATGAAAGACCATATCACAAAACAAAACAGAATGAACCCTGTTTTCAGTAGTAACCAAAATCAGGGAAACCAGCCATAGTGGATTTCAAAAGCAACAACTTTTAGCCTCTTCTATGCACTGTCCTGCGTGTCTGTCACCTATGGGTCACAAGGACTTGGGACCAGCCGCTCCCTCTCATACTCATCCTGAGTTCCTCCTGGGTCTCAGCAATCAGGGTCTGCCTCTAGGGAGTAGGCTCTGCTGGGGAGCATCAGCAGGCAGATGTCACACCCACAGCACATCTTCCCTTGGTAACTCATGTGGCCAAACACAAGGTTGAAAATCAGGAAGGGAAACCATTTGCGAGAAGCCACAACAGATGTGGAGACATTGTTATACAGGGCAGTGAAGCAGAGAGGCCTGTGCGTCAGTTTACTGTAAAAACTAACAGCAGCAGTGCCAGAGAAATGACAGATTAGAGCTGGAGAGCTGGCTCAGCTGATAAAGGCAAAGGTCAAAACCAAACATAAGAGAAATCACAGGCATGGTTTGCATTGTTTTTATTGTGCAAATCGTTTGTAATGGGAAATCATGCAGCAGAAGTGGCCTAAAATTTGTGATGTATTTGAGGCTTCTGTGTTGCCTTCTGAGACCTGGGACTACAGGTATGGATCGTCAGACATCTTCATTTTATTTTTAGGCAAACATGAAAGTATCATTTCATGGCACAAGCCTGCAAGCGCAGTACTCAGGTGGCCAAGGGAAGAGAAATGATGGGTTAAAGGCAGCCTGCAATGTGTAGCAAATCCAACTGGGAGGGAAAGGGGGGGAGAAAGTAACGTTTGAAGGGAAAATAATAACAATGGCTAGAATATAAGTCACAGATAAAGAGCTCAGCACACCCAGACCCTTGGTTTTGAGCAAACCCAGGGGTTCAGTCAGTCTTCTGGGCTCAGCTGCTCTTACAGTGTCAGATCTCACTGCAGTCAGATGTGGGCTGGAGAGGTGGCTCCGTGGTTAGAGCACTTGTTGCTCTTGGATGGGACCTGAATTCTCCATGGTGTCTCACAACAGCCTGTCAGTTCAGGGGCTGGCCTCCTTAGACACCAGGCACACATGAGGGACATACATACATCCAGACAGACCACTTAGACAAGTGAAATAAGTACCCAAAACATTTTATTAATATAAATAAATAATGGAAATTTTAGGTGAGAAGGTAAGTAAATACAAAAGTTATTCCATGTGCAGAATTATTTTAGGACAGCAGAAAATGTTCAAATATGAGAAATCGGATTGCAAATGTTAAATAATTTTGTTCCTTTTGCTTCTCCTCCAAGCAATCCACGATGCATCTATTCTGTACATCGACAGAGCTCACATGGACATCATCATCATCCTCAGGACACACAGTTTTTGAAGAAATTTCAATCTCACTTCTCAGATATTAAGCAGATGTGAATGACACTTTTGGTCAGGAAGAAGAGCGCCATGAGAGGACACTCAGAGCCAGGCGACATGCTTGGGACTTTACAGCACCGCTTGCTCTTTGCTCTTTCTGGGGTCTGCATTTTCTACAGAATCTCATTCAGTGAACATTCTCAGGAGCTGTGAGAGGGCAGATGAAGCTCCGAAGCAGAGTGTGTGCCGAGGGGACACGGCCTAGAGCTGTCCTCAGCATGAGAGCAAACAGAAGCTCAGGCCATACTCTTTCATCCCTTGGCCTTGCCCCTGCTGTTTCTCCTGTTCTCCCTAAAGCTGAGTGTTGCTTTTGCCTAAGGACAACAAGGAAGGAGTGTATGGGACTGGGGCAGCTCATCAGCTGAAGAAAGTCTCATGGAGAAGATGAACAACTCCAAGAATAATCGAGATGAGAGAACACACACATACACACCACAAAAAAAGAGCTTCATGGAAAGAAAGGCTTGGTTCACAAGGGATTAGGAAGAGACCTGGCAGTGGGTCTGAGCAGAGGGAGCATTGAACGTAGGTGTCCTTACCACATGCCACACATGAGCTCATGAACACTCCAGTGTTACATACAGCCAATCAGAATTCCCCTAAAGGGTCCTGACGATGTCCAGCTCATCTCTGGGTTCCTGAAGCCCTGTCTCCTCTGAAACGCTTTTCCTGAAGGTAGCAGTCACATTCACAGAGGAGCTTTTGTGGACCAACCTCCAGGAAGACCATCATGGGGGACACATAACGACACTGCTCATTGGAGACAACTCAGATGTTTTCTTCATCTCACTGTCACCCCACCTTTCAGAGCCCCCCTTACCTGTTCTGTATGGAGATTTTACACTACAATAGATTCCTAGGTGATCACAATGTTCAAATGCATGTGTTACCACATCTTCCTACAGACCCTTAAACAAGAACTTCTCTTAGGGGAAGGAGAGATGACCCAGGAGAGAAAGGCATTTGCCACAGTCTTGTCTGTTAGTTGGATTCCTGGGTCACACACAATTGAAACAAGATAGTTCACTCCTAAAGTTATCCAATAACCTCCAATTTACATACCATTTGTACTCCCACTGCTTGGGCCAGAAAACTGGTGGATTCCAGGGACACACAGGCCAGCCAATCCAGACTAATTCATGAGCCTAAGGTCCCATGAGTGACACTGTCACACACAAAAAACTGTGTATGTTTCCTGAGAAATGACACACAAGATTGACCTCTGTCATCTACTCACACAGTCACAGACTACACCAAACACTTGAAAATGAGCTCGACAGATGGACAGACAAAATGTAACAAGATGATTGCACATAAAACAATTTTAAAGTTACTACGAATGGCTGCAGAATGGAATACAGGGTAGAGCTCTTAACTCGCGTGTGCAGAGCCCTGGGTTCCATCCCTAGAACCAGTGAAACAATCAAGACAAAGAAAGGTGGAGTCCCATTATTTGGTAACTCCATTATGGCAGCTGGTGAATGAGAGTCCCCTAACAAGAAAGAAACAATTGGCTTTTAACTGAGCTTAACAGAGTCCAGTTTCAAATTGTGCTCAACTCTGAAACATGATAGAGAACAAGAATCAGTACAAATCTTCTCGTTAAACAGAAAAGGTCATTCTATGGACCACTTTGTAGAGAGCCCCTTTCAGGTCCCTGTTCCTCAGGCTGTAGATGAATGGGTTCAGCATGGGGGTCACCACTGTGTACAGCACGGTGGCTGCCGTGTCCTTCTCAGATGAATGTGCAGATGCAGGGTTGAAATACACGGCGATGATGGTGCCATAGAAGAGACAGACCACAGCCAGGTGGGAGCCACACGTGGAGAAGGCTTTCCATCTTCCCTTTGAGGATGAGACTCTCAGGACAGCAGATGTGATGTGGATGTAGGAGATCAGGATGCAGACAAAAGGGGTGACCATGACAACAGCTCCCTCTGTGAGGATCATCAGTTCATTGAGGTTTGTGTCAGAGCAGGACAGTTTCAGGAGAGGAGTAATGTCACAGAAGAAGTGAGGGATGGCATTGTCCCCACAGAATGAGAGCTGAGCAATGAGCAGGGTGTGTAATAGGACATTCAGATTGGCAGTGACCCACGATCCGGCCACCATCAGGACACAGAGTTTTTGGGTCATCTTTGTTGTGTAGTGTAAAGGGTGGCAGATGGCCACAAAACGGTCATAGGCCATCACAGCCAGCAGGAAATTGTCCATGTCCACAAACATGAAAAGAAAATACATCTGTGTGAGACACCCAAAGAAAGAAATGGCCTGAGTCTCAAGTATATGGTTGGCCAGCACCTTGGGGACAGTGGTGGAGGAGAAGCAGACATCCACGAAGGACAGGTTGCTGAGGAAGAAGTACATGGGGGTGTGCAGGCGGGAGTCTGTGCCGATGGCCAGGATGATGAGCAGGTTCCCCAGGACAGTGGCCAGGTACATGGTGAGGAAGAGCAGGAAGAGGAGCCGCTGCTGCTGGGGATCCCTGGAGAGTCCCAGGAGGAGGAACTCAGAGACACTCGACTGGTTGCTGCCTCTCATTGGACTATGAGCAGGCAAAGATGATTAAATCCTCAAACTTGGGAATCCTGCTCAAGACTGGACAACTAGAGCAACAGAGAAATAGGTCAGAGGATTTGTCAAAAGCACGAACATTTTGTTCCCTGCAGTGGCTTTGCCTCTTCATTGGCACAGTGCACGGGCTTGTGAATGGATTGTGTGTGGTGTCTCAAGAAGGATGCTGAACAGTGTCTGACAGTGAGTTTCTGCTCAGCCATGTGCGCTGCTTGAACTTTCTGCCACTGTTTTCCTTTTGGATCTTTGAGACAGGGTCTCCCTGTGTTGACAAAAGTGATCTTGAACTTAGAATCCTCATGACCCTGCTTTCCTGAGTTTATGGGTGACATGACCACAATGCCTGTCCAGCTAATGTTTTTTTAAAGTGTAACTTTTAGAATGTATTTATTTTGTGTGCATTGGTGTTTTGCCTTCATGAATGTCTGTATGAGGGTATCCGATACCCAGGAACTGAAGTTAAAGACAGTTAAGGGCTACCCTATGGGTGCTGGATGTATGAGAAAACAGCCAGTGCTCTTAACCACTGAGCCATTATTTCCACTTTCATAAAATAAAATAAAAGTGACATTCATAAAAAAATTACAGACATATCCTGGAGGTGCTGGTACCCACTTTTAATCCCAACAATTGGAAGGCAGAGTCAACAGATCTCTGAGTTCAAGGCCAGCTTGATCTATAGAGCAAGATCAAGGACAGCTGCACAAAGAAACGCTCTCTCAATAACTAAAAACAAATAACAAACATAAGAATTCTAGCAGAGGGGCTGGAGAGATGGCTCAGTGGTTAAGAGCACTGTCTGCTCTTCCAGAGGTCCTGAGTTCAATTCCCAGCAACCACATGGTGGCTCCAAACCATCTGTGATGAGATCTGGTGCCCTCCTCTGGCGTATGGGTAAATGGAGGCAGAAAGTTGTGTGTATAACAAATAAATAAATCTTTAAAAAAAAAAAAAAAAAAAGAATTCTAGCAGAGTTAGGAGGGGGGGTGTAGTAGTAGATGCCTTGAATCTCGGTGTTCAGAAGGTGGAGGCAGGAGGATCAAGAGTTTAAGGTCTTGAGCTACACGGCCAGTATGAAATAGTTTTAACTGTGTGTAACCTTGTTTAAATGTCAATCAATAGATTAATGAACTAAAACATTGTGTGTGTGTGTGTGTGTGTGTGTAGTGGTGTTTTATTTAAAAATATGAAAATTAGTAGATCATTTGAAGGAGAATGATGGAAATTATATTAACACGTGAAGTGAAATACGCCAGACTCGGGAAAACAGAAACACTTCATTGCTGTTTGGTTTTTTGCTTGCTTATTGTTTTTGGCTTCTGGGAGGCTGTGTTGTTTTGTTTTGTTCTGTTCTGTTTTTTGAGACAGGGTATCTCTGTGTAGCTCTGGCTGTCCTGGAACCTACTCTGAAGACCAGGCTAGCCTCAAATCAAGGAGATTTTCCTGCCTCTGATTCCCGGATGCCTCCTACCACCTGGATACGTTTCTTTTCAAATGTGAAATCTAAGGTAAAAAGAAACATGCTCACACATTGTTGGACACATCTATAATCCCACTACTCCACAGAAGAGGCTGGAGGATCTCTGTGAGCTTAAGGCCAGCTTTATGCATAGAGAGTATCTCCACAGAGAATCTCAGCAGCTGTAGGGATGGCTCAGTGTTAAAGACCAAGCTCACAACCAAAAATGTAAGAGAGTCTCAGGACAGCCAAGATATAGAGACTGTATTTGTTTTTCAATTTTAATTAAATAATATCATTTTTAGTAATTAATGCATAATAAAAATAAAAACATTAAAGTAGAAGGGGAAATTACTTCCAGAGACCAGGAAGCCAGAGGGAAAGCCAAAGACAGCAAAGGATAAGATTTGCATGGGATCAAAGTATATTTTACATGTGTAAAGCTGCTATGATGAAACCATCATTTTGTACAATCTATATTGACAAAAAGATATAAAACCACCAAAGCACTCATACACACACAGATGATTGCCCTGGATGCTAACAGGCCACAAGCTTTTAACACCCAGTATTATAGACATCATTAGCATGATTAACAATGTGGCTTTGGAGGAAACATGGGTTCTCCATCCTCTCCAATCTGAACAAATCACATATTCCTGTTTGCTCTGGGGACCAAATTTGGCCTCATCCAAAGCCACCCCTGGACTGATAATCACAGTGTGCTGCTCTCTAGACTCAAACAGAGCTCACCTCTGAGGTCTAGACCACGACTTCTTGGCTAGGGGCCCTGAGCTGAACTTGAGGAACTAAGGATGAGTCAGAGGGATGGGCAGACACTTGGCCAACCTGGACTCCCCACAGCCAGGACTCCAGAACTGACAAGACAGGCGCTGGATGTAATGGGTGATTATAAAGAATGGTCTGTGAGCTCAGAACTGCTTATGAGGCTCCACGTAAGAGGAATGGGGGTCCCTAGAAGGTTTCACCTCCAGTTTTCAACATAAAGTCCTACTGACCTGACACTGAGAGCAGATGGCAGTCGGCGATGTCACCAGAAGTGCTGGGCTTGCTTCACATTCTTTACTTGGCCAGAAGATGTCGTTCTGAGGGAGGAGAAATGTCGTTGCTGTTGTCGGGCTGTATGTAGGATGCTCTGGAGCCTGGGCTCAGCCCTCAGGAACAGAAGGACATCTGGGGATCCACAGGGCGAGCTCTTCAGAGGAACTTCCATGGCCATGAGGGCCATGGTCCCTGAGAGCCTCATTAGAGACAAACATAGACCAATTTGTCCTTTCTCCTTCTTGGGCTTGTTAGGAATAATCTTAAGATGAGCCTCTCTGCCAATGCAAATAATTGCAATCAGACCAAACGAATGCCCGTGTTTACTGCAGTGTTCCCGATGGCCGGGAAAGCATTGCGGGATAGAGAGAGACAGAGAGGGGCACATGCCAAACCTGAAAACCATGTGTTCTTTTTCTTGGTGACAGCCTAAATAGCCTGTAGAAGAGGTTCTGACCCTCCCTTGGGTGGGCTCAGTGCTTGGCAGGCTTTTCCAGAATTGGGGTACAGACAAAGGCATCTCCCAGGCCAGGAGCTGGGGTGATGCCTCCAATCATCCCCTTGGATATAGGGGTGTCAGAGGGCAGGGGTCTCACTTTCAATCAAACATCCAAGACTCCTTGGATATAGGGGCATCCGCTCAAGTCTGGCTACTTCCTGCGGGCATGAGCGACATGGGGTGGGGAACTGGGAGTTGGGCTCACAGCCAGTAACAGGTGTGGCTGGAGGGGCATCCGGTTTACTGTCATCCTGGAGTCCTCAGGCACCTGCTTTTTGAGGGAGATAAGAAGGCAGGAGGCTAGGAGGAAAAAAATAATTACTATTGGCCCTATAAATGGGGCAGCCAAGGGAAGTCATTAACTGTCAGAAGTGCCCTGGATGTACAATTAGGCTCGGGTGTATCAGATACAACCAGATTTTTGTGGTAGGTGTCCTTGATCCCAGAGAGTCGGGAGCAATGGTGAAGCCCTGGAGCTGGTGCAGGTGTTGGCATTGTCTGCAGAGAGCTTTGTCTTGGCCCCGAGAGCAGGAGTGACCTATAAAATATGCTTGAAACTGGCTGGCATTAAAATAGGCTCTGAAGACTGTTAGTTTTTTTCAGACCTGATTTTTGATACAGCAGCAGAAATTTTTCAGGAAGAGAACTGGAACAGATTTATATCTTGGTGTCAGAGCAAAAGGCTACTGCTTTCAAATGCCTCTAGACACACAATTAAAGCAAGTTGGGACCTCTGGATTTTTAAGATACGACTATAACCTGTTGATATTGAATTATGAAGCCTGTGAAAGAGGCACCCCTGACTGTATTCTAGCAGGAAACTTAACAAATAAAGTAATGAGCTACCAGTACCTTAAGTCATCAAATGCCATTAGACTGATCTGGGAGGGATAAATGAGCAAAAATGAGACAGCTTTTTTGCTACACAGGCAATCCCAAATTTGTCCTAGTCCTTGGAGAACATCAGCATAGAAGCAGTTCTTGCTGTTACCTATGAGTACAAGAGGCCCAAAGATTTTCCTGTGGGAGGAAGATTTAGTCTACCTGTCTCAGCAGGATGAGAAGATCGATTTCCCTGAAGGCATCCAGGAAGCTGAAGAGGTAAAAGGCTGCTTTTCCTTTGTGGGTGGCTTTGCCAAACCCAAAGGCAAGCCTGGAGGTGAAATTTCCTTTGCAACCACGTATCTTCTTGGAGGAGCTAAAGGATGCTGCAGGAGCTGGTGTGTCTCTGTGTTAGAGGCTCTTTTCTTAAATGCTATACCCTCAGATCTGTAAAGGCACTTTAGAAAGGGTACCATTACCTGTTATTTAAACTGGGCATATAAGATAAATTTAGACATATATTTTATCCAATTAGTTACAGTTAGTGTTAATAATGTAAGAAGATAAAAGGAAATATTTCAATAAGTCAAAGAATAGTAGCACACGTGTGTACTCTTACCCAAGATGGAAGAGAGGTCAAAATAGAGGTTACCTAACCAGTTCTAGCAGGCTGTTTTCTGACATCTGCAAATGCTGTATAGCTTGCTTGTGCACACCACACACACACACACACACACACACACACACACTGTGCTGGTTTGAGGGACAATTATTCCTATTGGCTCATGTTTGAATATGTAGTTCCTAGTTGGTGAACTGTGTGGGGGAAGATTAGGAGGTGTGGTCTTTGAAGGAAGTGTGTCACGTGTGTGTCACACTAGGTTCAGTCCCTCTGCCTCCAGTGTACGGATCAGATGTAAGCTCTCAGCTACAGCTCCAGTGCCATGCCTACCATCTGCTGCCAGGCTACCCACCATGATGGTCATGGACTGGCCCTCGGATGTCATAAACAACCTCCCAATTAAATGCTTTCTTTTATAAGTTGTCTTAGTCATGGTGTCTCCACATGGCAATAGAAGAGAAACTAAGACATACACAATGTAATTTTTAAGTTCAACCCAGCAC